CTTTTAAAGCAAGAATTTAAAATTGTTATTGATGTTGGAAGAGAGAATGATTCAAAAATTTTCTCAGAGAGCAAACACTTCTTCTCAGCCATTAGAGGACTGCACCTAACACAATCAGCAAACTTTCATAAGCTGGTGCTATACCCTCGGCAGTGTGTTACCTATTTAGAATATATACCTAACAAAGGAATATACACAAACTCTCCAGACCCAGGGTCCTGGTTACCAGGTATCCTGGAAGCATATGCCAGACAGGGCAGCCAATAGGAAAAGGCAGGACAGAGTAAGAACCAGGAAATAATGGGGATGCATCAACCGCAGCAAAGAGTCCTGTCCCTGGAGGACGGTCCTGTCCCTGGAGGACGGAGCGACGGATGCCGACTGAACAGCCTCTGCAGATGCACAGAACCCAAGGGGCTGGGAAGGGAGGCCATTCATCATGAAAGGTCTGACTTCTGACCACTCATCATGACTTCTAGAAAAGGAGGCACTCGTCCCCCATGGTTGGTTAAATCTAGCAAAAGGAGAACCCAGGCCAGGAGCCACTTCCGAGGCCCAGCTTCCTGGTACAGGACACTCCGTTGCATAACCTGTCTATTGGCAGCCCTGTCCCTAAGGACGGAGGTGATGAGGAGCAAGGCACCCAGCAGAGGCTCTCCTGACCCATCTTAAGCTCACTCTCCGGGAAGCAGGACTCTGCAGGCCGAGCTGCCACCTGGAGCCGTCTCAGCAGCATGATGGCCAAACAGCCCGGAATCAGCCTTACGTGCAGGCAGAATACGGCCATCTACGCTGTACATGTTAGGGTGACCCAAGGGTTCCTCCTCACTCCCCTCCCCCGGTCTAGTCACAGTGTCTAACACTCGGCTTTCCTCTATTTTTTTTTTTCTAATTAAATTCCCAATTCACTGAATTATCCCCATTAACTCACTAAAGAAGGCTGCCTGCTTCTGCAAAGGTATATTAAGTTTGTCTAAGCCTGTCATCATTAGCTTTTCAATTCCAACAAACAGCTCAGAGCTTCTTTAGAAATAACACTGAAGACAAGATGCTTTGGTGAGGGGGAGGTCAGAGAACAGATCCGTAACATGCACCAGCTTCTAGGGGAAGGTGTGGGTTTGAAAAGGCACCAAAGAAGAGGCCCGAGTACTTCACCCACTTCAGAATGTCATTCGGAAACAGCTGACGAGTTTTTGGTAAGAAGCGCATCTGGAGTCTGGGAAGAGAGTCTACTGGGCTTTGCAGAGGGCACCTGGAGACACCCACAGCACCGAATGTACAGCAGGAAGACCTCCAGGAACAAGGAGAGGAAAACGCAGTTTGGGGTTCACTCAACTTCAGGTGAGGAAGAGAGAAGCCCCAGTGAAGAGGCTCTCGGGACCTTGGTCGAGTTGTGCCACTAATTCGAGGATGGTGTTGGCATGAGTTTACCTCCCCAAAGACTTGGCATTCAGGACCCATCTTAGTCTACCTAGCAGGGACCATTTCGATTCTAACTTTATTTTCAACAGATTCACATAGAGATTCTGATGAATCTGTTGAAAGTAGAATGCTGAGCCAGCATTCCCTGCTTCAGAGAGCATCTGTGTCACCGATACAAATCACGCTGGCTGCCTGGAGCAGACTTTACCTCGCTGGAGTTGGTGGAGCTCTGAGGTTGCTGGGTTCCAGAAAATCCATGGCCGCTATTCGAATCAAATATCTGACAGACAGGGGTAAAAGAGAGAAAAAAAAAAATGGCTCTGAGAAGTTCATATGGCATCCACCCTTTTACAGTGTTTAAAAATTAAAGTTGTGTAACATAAGATCTTCATTTCTCAATTTGTAATGTCTAATATTCCAACCCAATTGAAGGTCTAACTTTGAAGAAAAAAAGTTGCTTTCTTTCTTCCTAGTCATGTATTTTACTTTTCTATGATGTCATATATTAATCAAGTCATTCTGAATCTTTTTGATGTCACTTTTGACAAGTTCACATTTTTGAAGAGATGGAGCAGAGCTCAGAGTTGGCAAAGGCTCCAAAATCAAGCTTATCCTTTCTTTTAATGCATGCAGAATAAATTTTGAAAGAAAACAGCTAAATGTTAAAAGTGACTGTGTTTGGATAAACATACTACGAATCATTTAAGTTTCCAAATTTCCTTCTAAATTTTGTAGATAACTAGCATTAAAGATCATTTAAACATTTAATAATATCTACTAAATCAACTTGATTCAATTATATAAATACTAATAATATAGTTGGTGTCATCTTTTTTTTTTAATACAAAAACATATGTTCAACCAAATGCTTTTTTGTCCATCAATAAACCTTTTGTTGGGAACATTTACCATATATGCTGGGGTAAAGACCATTTTAAGCTCATTTGTAATTAGCTAAACATCTACATCTAAGAAAAACAAGCAAGCTATCCATTTTAATGACACAAAATTGATCATCTTGAATAAAATCATGATTGGCCTTAAAGACATTATTTAAACAAAATCTCAGAAGTTCAGCTCAGGAAGCACAGGCCCAGTGTGCAAGTACAAATTTGTGACCATAAGTCCCAGCATTATGTGCAACTATAATGCAACCAATTAAAAAAAAAAATATGGTGGTAGGGGAGAAAACCTGGGCCCAGTATAGCCAATGATTTATGACTACAATGCATAATGTAAATTAAAATATAAGTAGAAGTATGATTTTAAAGTATGATATTCCTTAACAAGTCATGGCTAAAGATAACCTTGTAATTAAATACCACGCCAGAAAATTAGTATTTTTTTTAAATTTTTTTAGTTGTAGATGGACACAATACCTTTCTATTTTATTTATTTATTTTTAAGTGGTGCTGAGGATTGAACCCAGTGCCTCACACATGCTAGACAAGTATTCTGCCACTGAGCCACAATCCCAGCCCCTAATACACTTTATGTCATCACATATTTGTATTTTACCTATGTTTTACTAGAGTGGAAAATATTCTTTTTTGTGGGGCGACTTTACCTACAACAATGAAATGGCTGGGACATTCCAAATGTTAAGTAATTGTGGTGATGACCGGCAACATTTTTGTAAATGGAGAGCTAACTAGTGTTTCACCATGAATTGTAATACCATCTTTAGCTTTAAGATAAATATTTTTAAAAACTCATGTTCAGAGTGAATTGTACTTACCTTTATTGATGAAACCTGTGTCAAATGTGTATTATTATCGACTATGTGTTATTATTTATAAATTTAATTATATATTTCCCTCTGACCAATGAAAATAATGATATGTGTTAAAAAAAAAAGTGTGATATTCTTGGCTACGTAAAAGAAGTCTTGTGTTTCTGCTATCTTTCCATCAGCTAATCCACTCCCTCCAACTTCTGACCTTGTTGTTTCAAGGTCTTAGGTAAGTCAAAGAAGTTGATACTAGTCCTTTTATCCACCTAATTCATACATGTATTATATACTTCTGAATAGAGAGCCGCACACGAATTAGAAAATAAAGTTCCACGAAATGTGACCACTCTTTCCCATGACACTGAAAGCATACTCGGAAGAATGGCAGTCCACTGAAAATAAAACCAAGAGCTCCTCCCCAGGGCACTGCACACATTCTCCCCACTCACAGGATCAGACCATCACACTACTTCTCTTTCTACAGTATTTGAAAAAATAATGGCCCTAAAACACACCCATCGCACGATGAATCTCCTTGTCACAGGCTATGTCATGGGCATCAGGAAACACTTCGGTTCTGAACACCGAATTCGCTATACTTGGGCCACATTCCAGGAGCAAATGTTCAGGCTGTCTTTTCTTGGTGAAATGGTCAAAGAGCCACTACTTCTAAAGGGAAAATGAGCAGCAGCCATTGTCCAGTGTTTC